TTTTTTGCTTAGTGTTTTTGATGCGATTGCATGCCTGATATGCATGGTAGCGTGCTAGGGTGTTCTTCTACAGAGAATCGTGCCTTTATATGCACACACATATACAATAAAAGAGGGAGCATGTAATGATATTTACTAACCCTCTTGCTTGCAGGTGTTGTTTAGCTCCCCCACCAGACAAAACTCATTACAAGTTGCATGACTTTCCTTGCTGACGCCTATTTGATGCAGATCGAGTATTTTATTTTATCCTTCAATTTATTTAATAGAGTCCCTAAAATGAGTTTGTACCGGAAATAAGGTACGAACATGTGTTTGGAGGCAGATAACTCACCGAACCACATGATGAGGGCCATAAGCGACAACTCATGTCCCATACATAAAGTCTAAAGTTTCTATATTTTTGTATAGACTTAAGACTGAGCATGTATATGTGGAGTATGACTACTTTTCCTCCTTTTCCTATGATATGTTGTTGACCCAGTGACATTTGACATATTTTATATACTTTAGAGTAATTTTTATTGTTTATTGCTTGTCTGCAAGCTTGAACTATTTTTTCTTGTTTCTTTCTGGAACTGGGATACCATGAAAATTAAAATTTAGATTCTCTATAACCATAACATTGTCAATTTCTCTACATAAAAATCCAAAAAAAAATAATATAAATTAAAATTTAGGATTTTCAAAACCTGCTTTTACTTTCTTGCATGACCCTCTAGCCGGTTTTAAAATGGGTTGTATAACATGGATATCACCCGAGCCATTTTAATAAGGCCTCCACAAAATCTAAGGACTGCTCTAGATAACTGAATCATATTTGCATGTCCCGAGGAGGAGCTCATGTGTTTATTCAACTTGACTTGCCTAGCATACTTTTTTACATAGGATGTTGTTTAGTGCGTCTAGGTCGCTAGAAGGCTCCTCGACCCATTCGGGATGTAAGTCTTATTTTTCAAAGCGTTTACCACTTTTTAGCTAAACCTCCCTTCCTCTCTCTTTTCTGAGGCTTCATTGTCACTTCAGCAGGTATAAGTCCCACCACTTGGAGCTACAACAGATAGTTGTAGGATAGAGTTTTCTTCCTTTGACCTTAGGGATACCGAGGTCCCTTGTGGATGACACAATTCACGGATTGCTGATCGGGGATCTCAAGACATGTTGGGACGACTGCCTTCACGGCCAGGTAGACTTAAGGTTTTAGTGGCTTGGGATGATGGGTCATGGTACATTGACACGACTACCTTTATCTTTTTGGGATTACTCCTCCACTCCTTTGACTACCCTTGTTGAACCTCATCTCTTCTTTTGCCTTTGTGGGCATCATCTTGAGGACTTAATTGCTGATGAACTGTCACTCATTTGGGATACAACAATTTGTCCTTTGTCAGTATGACCGGATGTGTTATGACGTATCGGGATCACTCGTCAAAATGATATGGTTATTTCATAGGCTTCATATGTCGTTCAATCGCTACCCACCTAGAATGTGAGAGACTCGCTCTCTTCCTGATGACTTAGCGAGAGCTTAGAAACATTATAGCATTCTCCCTATGAGATAACCTCCTTTGATAGCCCTATGCTAGTTGTCACTTTCGAGCAAGAAAAACCCCTTTGGATCAAGAGTATTATTGGGAAACTCTAAAGAAGTTATTTACCAAGTGAGATATGTTCCATAGGGAGCATTTGTGACCTCATAACAGACACCTATACTTGAATCTTTGGTTATGGGTAGTCTATTTAGACATTCTTTTCACATATATTGGTCTAAAGTGCCTCCACCTGATCTTGTTTGAGTGGACATACTTGACAATTCCTTGCTAGGTTTACCGCATGTTGACTCTCCACATTTTGTTTTCTCTTATTTCTTACTTTGTCGTATGTCTGCCTTTTTCAGTTCCTCTCTTTGTCGAGTCATTCATATGACCTAGAAGAGCGGCTTATTCTCGAAATAGAAGTATAGGACGATCCAGAGGCTGACGACTCCTTCAAAAAAAAAAGAGAGAAAAAGAACAAAAATAATGTCTGGAGTAGAGGAGTTCAGGTCAGCTAGGGCGCGACCTAGAGGGAATCGCAGGCTTCTTCGACGATGTCCTTCGTCTGAACTAAATTGATTCGGATCTAGAAGGGTCAACCGACTCTCCCATGTGGGATTGGCGCCTCATTTCCACAGAGGGATCTAATCCTAGTTATATAGGGCTTATATATGTGATTCATGTTTTGAGTTTTTTAGTTTGTTGTATCATATTTTTGTCAGGATAGTTGTAGGTGTCTGGTGTTCCCCTTTTAGGACTATATCCAAATATGAGAAGGTGCTTCGATTGTACCTCATCTAACGTGGTGACTTTCTTTCAAAGTTCGAGTGGTGCTCCGATTGTAGTTCGTTCCTAATGGATCATTTATCCTCAAACTTTCCTTCCCCGCACCCCTCACTTCGTTGCCACGCCTCTTTCTTCGCTGCAACCGCCCATGATAGCTATCATTGCCAATCTTTCATGCAATTCTCCTCTTTCCAACAACCTCCTTTTCACAATCCCTGCTATACTTCTTACAGATCAACTACCAACCCTCCCTCTACTATTTCCAATAGTCCACAGTGTTCCTATGGCTCCATACCCCTTGTCACCACCGTTCCAACCCTTCATCCTCACTTTCATGGTTGTCCTGCTCCCCCATAGTCACGACCACAACACACGCCTTCCCTTTGCTGTTTTCCTATTCTCTAACTGCCCCAAATAACAAACTGCTACTATTTGGACTACTTTATCTTGCTACCATGTTGTTCTATGATCGTTGTTGCCCCTCTCTCATAGCCCTAAAACCCCCCTCTTCCCCACAATCTCTCCAAGCTCCCTCGCTGACACCACCATCACTTGGGATCCGCCCTAGTGCGAGTTTGCAGACCGCTTGTGTTGTATTTTCCCTTTCATGTGTTTTTTATTGTAACAATCTATTTGATTTTAGTAATGATTTTTGGTTTCCTTATTGTGGTTTGAGTTAATTCTGATATCAAAATTTGAGTAGAATATATCCGCCCATTGTGGAAAGAAATGAGCCTAATTCAAATAAATCAACTTTTTCATCCATATCAAGTGTAATCAACATGAAATAGATTTTGAAAATACTTATCCACAACAAACCACATATTTATGTCAATGTAAACTACCAACATCTCCTAAGGGGACGAGCAACTAACTAAAGGCAAGAATATTATAGGGCATTGGTTAATATGTTAAATGCATAATTTTAAGAAAATCATCAACTTCGATTCTTATATGTCATCAATAAATTTTCATCTTTCAACACAAATATTGAAGCATCACATAAATCTCGAGGCAATTTTTTAGCAAGAAACATTCAAACTTTGAATAAAAGTCATTAAGAACTCTGATTTCAACAAACATATAGTCAAACTTACTGGCTTGACGAGAAGAACCCGATGGTAAGAAAATTTGTCCAATCTGAGTAAAATCAAGCCCAAATGAAGCCGTTAAACTATTTTTTGAAGCTTTCAGCGCATAATTTGAAGACCAAACAAATTTTAAATTTGACATGTAGGTAGTCAAATTGAGCGTATCGATAAGACGAAACTAACAAGCCCAAGATCACTCAATCATAACGTCACTAAGACACTCAAATGCTCACCAAACATTATCTAATGAAGAAAATTTATATAAATCATTCGATCAGAGTGATCTGAATTCTTTCTTTATTTACAACACAAACTCTAAAAATAGAGCATTACCCCTTTCTTGAAAAAGAACTTAGATCTTGATTCAGAAGAGAACTGAAACTCAGAGAAATACATGAAGTTCATTGCCACTTATGCACTGAAGATGCGGCGAACACCTCCTGCTCAACCTCTTGCGGAATACCGTCTACTACCGCTTGTCACTCTCCTCTTGTTATAGTGACTACTCTCCATTGCGACCACTCCCTATTGCGGGGCAACGAACTCTTTTGTGGACGATTGTTGTAATACGAGAGACAGTGTAACTCTTTTTTGCGAGTGAGACAAGGGTCAATATATGTAATCACAAACTTATAATGAATCATTTTAACTGAGTCGGTCCTTGTGATTTTTTTCATTTACGGGTTTTGGTCAAAAAATTATGATGTCTCTAGTAGTTATTTACTTTTATCCGAGCGTGTGTTGAATTTTCGTATAATGCCAAGTCCGTAATTTTTTATTCTACCGTCATGAATCTTCTAACACGAATCAAGTTCTTATAATGCTAAATTCACAATTTTTTCAAGCTTTGCACATAATACTTCATGAGCAGATTGAAAATCTAAAAGCATTTATTTAAATTAAGGGAATCTAATAAAAAGTTGAGGTATAAAAAATGTTTGCGATAAAAAATGGGTGATGGGCGAGTGGATCATAAAAGAAGAAGAAGGATAAGAAAATAACTTTAATTCTTCTAATTTAATGAAGAAGAGCAAACTCTTTTGTAAGAAGATTAAAAACATAACTAGTATTCGCTTTCACTAGCTCTAAAATATAGTCCAACAACAAAGAATGGGTGTGAAAACATCATAAAAAGAAGATTAACTACTTTATAGAATGAGAAAAAGCCCTAATTAACATCAACCAAAGAAGAGAGAGGAGCGAATTGAGATGAACATGAGCTCAGTGGAGTGGTATATTCAAGCTTTTAAAGTGGTAATATTTGTTAGATGAGTAAATAGAGTGTTATTGGGTGGTTTGTATATAAACCCCCCTTTAATTAATTCTTTAACAATGAATAATGTTACACGAGTTAAATACAAGTCACTTAGACTATGCAGTCACTTAATTGATATTTAATGATGTGAATGGCACATGTGATATTTGAATGGTATGTTTGTAAATATGAAAGTTTAGGTTGGGATATGTAAATACCTAAGAATTATGTGCCAAGCATGTAAATTTCGCTAATTTACGCCACATATGCGCGGGAGGATGGACGGCTTATCGTATTTCCCTCGTCTCCTTACGTTTTCGACAACTCCTGTGATTAGCCTTTTGGTTATCCTAACCACCATGAAAGGGGTGGTTTTTAGAAGGGCGGCGATTCTTGATGCTGTACTCGGAGATGAAAAGGTCGCCTGGCTTCTCCTTCTCGCCATAGGGCATTGGAAGAATGAACGGTCGGACTTCTTCGGTATTTGCAAGAACTCCCGGCAATATGTTTGCTGGAGAGCAAGAGGGGAATGGATTTTCGGTTAATAGAGATTTGCCTCGCCGGATTTTGATTGGGGAGAGCAGCTTTCATGCACGTGGAGGGAGCGACGATGGCAAGGAGGGGAAGGGTTTAGACTGCGATGGGTTTCCTGAAGATGTTGGGTTCGGATGGAAGGAGAAGAATGCGCTTGTTGAGAGGATCGAGGAGCTTGAGAAGGAGGTGAGTTTCATAAAATAGGAAAATAAAGCTTGTCAATCTCGTATTGCGACCAATGTCGGCCTATATTCAAGTGTGGTAGACCATTATAGATGCACATTAGAGGGTTCATTTACTGGGTCAGCATCAAAGGTTTTGGTTCCCGTCATTTTTGCGTGTATGATGAATTTGCAACTGGCATGCATGATGAGAAACTCTCTTCGTAAATATTATGTGGGAAAATAGTAAAGCCACCCTATAGTTCGTCCCTTATGTGACAAGATAGCATTTTTAAATTCAATTAGCCTTCGGGGTAGAGGCAACCATCCATTTAAGATCTATGACCAATCCAAAATATTTCAAGTAACATCTACTCTCACTATATAACACGTGCTTACTTAATGCTGACATAAGGAACAATCATGTAGGATTCCCTAAATTTCATCAACAAGCAACATGAAGAAATAACCATCGTATCCATGCACAGATGGCCGAGACATTCATTTTATTTTCCTCAAACTTCAAGTTTAGGTGTTTCTAGTAGGGGCATCTGGCAGAGTGTTGGATCTGCTAGTTGGGCTAGGAGTAAGGGTTAATTTTTCTACGAATTGGTCTTGTTCATTCATTATTAAAAAAATTAGGGTACCTAGTAAAATTACGGGGCTGTCTGATAATGGTTTTAGTAAATTCTGTAAATCTGGATTTGCTAAATTCTGCCAATTCCAGGATTTAGTAAATCCGGATACAGGGTAAATTTGGGAATATATTGAGAAGAAACTCGATTTGCTAAATCCAGGATTTCAAAGTGGACAGTTTTCTTGTCAGGCAATATTTAAGTTAAATCCTAATTAACTGTCACCAGACAACCTCAGAAACAAGGACTTTGTAATCCGGCGAACTTGGAATATATTCAACCTATTGTTTTTCCTTGTCCTGGAAGAGCATGTTTTTTCTTAATACTTTTAATTGTTAAAAAAAATTTGGGGTTTCTGTTCAAACTTCAGGATAACTAAGGCTTCATACTACTGTGAATTCGGAACATCATAACCTATTAATTTTCATGTTCCAAGAAGATAATTTTTTTCTTTGTGTTTTTATTTTTAGACTCATGACTCAATGATGTAGCTGCTTAAATAGAAAAAAAAGAAAAAAATAAAGACATGCCAATAAGAATGATTTAGTTTTACACAACTTTACTTAGTTTGATCTAGGCATGACACATTGATCATGTTTATTGAACTAACCTTTGCCTTTTCTTCTCCGTTTAGTTGTGGTTCATTCTTTACCCTGCCTATCAGTATTTGTAGAATTTTTGCTCTCAATGTATCAATGAAGTCTTAGATTATCTCATGATCCATTTGTTTACATGGATTATTGCTCTTATGTAATGTTTTGGATAAATTACTCTAATACTGGTGATGGTTCTCAATCATTCATTTCGTACCATCACAAGTACTCTTATACTGGTGATATTTGGAGAGTTATGAGGATATTATAGTGATTTGATTAACACATTCTCTTAATGAAAACTTAAATTTTAAGTTGATACCAAGCATCATTTTGGTATTGCTATTTAAGAACAACAAAGATATTCAAAATTTTGGTGATTATAAAGAACTCAAATTTATGAGTCATTCAATAATGTTATGAAGAGAATAATGCAAACAAACTTAGAAAAACTATGTTAGTTGTAAAACATAAAATTAGTTTCATGCTAGGGAGATTTACCATGGAAGCATTTCTTGCCTTAAATAATTAATAAAGAAGTACAAATAGGTGATAAAGGATCTTCTATGATTTTTGTTGATTTTGTGAAGGAATGATTGAGTGGCACCTAAAATTAATTTGGTGTACAATAAAGAAGAAAGTTGCATGCTAAAGGAATGTTGAATTCATAAAAGATACATATGATATAGCACTAACTTGCATTAAAGGTAGTTATATAGTAACTAAAGGATCTTCAATTATAATATGATTATACAAGTGTTGGATTTTGAATTGCCAGTTGTCTCACACCACCTATGCAAGGTGCAGGAGAAGAATAAAAAAATTAGAGAAGATTGATATAAGATTGGAGATGAAAGAGAGAATGCTTCATATCTCTCTCTTCTTCGGAAGTGGAAAAAGGGTCCCCCATTCCGTGGATGGCCTTTCGTATTTATAGATTTGGGTTGGCTCTATTTAGGAGAGATTATATAAGTGGCTGTATCAAAGAGAAAAATACATTAGAATAATACTATTTCATAGTTACACGTGTAAAGTGTTACAGGAGATGTTGTTTAACTATATAGTGAGTTGATAGAGTCGCCTATGTCCTGTTTGGGATCACTTTCTGTTTTATCTTTTATATTTTTGAAAAAAAAGAAGAAGAAAACAAACCAAAAAATAGTGTTTGTTTATTTCTTTTTTTTTTAAATTTTGTTTTTAACACATTAGGCGTGTTTTCAAAAACATTCAAAAAACATAAATTATTTTTTCGCTGTTTCAAAAACATGTTTTTCAGAGCTATGCCCTAAAACCTTAAATCAGTTTAATCATCATTGAACAAAATTAACATAACCAAATTAAATCATTAATCCACTAATTAACTCCTATACTCTCTTAATTAACTCATTAATAAATTAATGGAATTATAAAAATTACTTGGGGTCCGTTTGGGGCAGCTTATAAGTGCGGGCGACGTTTTCAAAACGCCGCCGTACTGTTTGGTTCGCGCGTTTCACCAACTTATCTAAAATTATGTTTGAGTTTTTACACTAAACGCAGGCCGCGGGATAAGCAGCTTATCCTGAAACGCACAAGCTGCCCCAAACAGACCCTTAAATTCAATCAATTAATAAAATACTTAATTAAACTGACAATCATTTAATTAAATCAATAATTATATAAATGGAACCTAAATGAACTTAATTAACTCATAATTACGCAATTTAATAATAAATATACTTAATTAACTTAATAATTATTCAATTAAACCAAATAAAATATTAATCATTTAATTAAGTTAATAATAATAAAATTAAAACCTTAATTTATTTAAATATATCTTTAAATATATAAATAATTAAATAAAACATTAAACAACCTAATTAAATACTAATTAATGAATTAATTAAATATTTAATTAAATTAATTGAAATTTTGATTAATCCATAAAATTTTAATAAACTTATAGAAATTTTAAATCAATTAAAACTTCAATTTAACTAAACCTTAACTTAATAAAATAATTAATTTATTAAACAATTTCAATAATTCACCAAAAATTTAATTAACATGTTAAATAATTAAATTATTTAACATATTAATCGCTAAAAAATTAAATTAATTAACATGTTAGCTGTTATTAATTAAAATTTTTAAATTAATTAACATGTTATTAGTTATTAAAATTTAATTAATATTTTTAAAAAGTATAGTTTTTATTTTAAAAAATAGAAAATACTCAACCAAACACATCTTATATTTTATATTTTTAAAAACATATAAATCATAACAGTGCCAAACACATTTTCTAAAAACAGAAAAACATGAAATAAAACAAAGACAAAAGAGACTGAAAACAAAAAAATTGAAAAAGAAAGCGATCCAAAACATGGCCCTAGACTTCCCGAATTAGCCAATGAGATATATTTGTCAAATTGGACAAGGTGAATTTCTTGACAAGCAGGCTGAGCCAAAATTTTAGTGTTTTGTACAACTGAATTGTAGATTTAGCTGAACGACTTTGCCGAACCATATGTGCTGAGTTGTCCTAACGAGCTGATCAAATTTGGCTACCACTTTGAGATTGTCTCATACTTTGAAGTCGGCCTCGAAACTTTTATAGCTATACACCAAGGATTAGCATTGACTCTCTCTATATATATATAATAGTTGTGAAGATACTTGTATAGGATGTTCAATTACAATGCTTTATGCATTCTTTTCGCAAAGATAATTCTAATTGGAGAGGCATTTGCTAAAATAAGTAAAAAATTGGAACCATAGGGAAAAAAATAAAAGTTAAATGACTAAAAATCAAAACAAAAATTGTATATATGATATAATTTTAATGATTATAATATTACTAATTATAAGTCAATGTTATTAGATGATAAATTGATACTTAAGTGTTATAAATTTATATATTTTTGATCTAGGGTATAGAAAAATGCTGATATATATGCCAATATCATTGCTAAACTTATGGGAATTAACAATGAAAAATTATTTCAAGAATTTTATTTGATAGGTATATTATGAAGACTTGAGTGTAATTTTTTGTAGAATTTTAATTAGGCAAAATTTCTTTTAGGCATTTGAATGTTAGCAAATAAGTTTTTGATCGCCAAGTTAAGTATGAAAAAATGAGGTTAAGGTAGATGTGTGAAAAAAAAAAAAAATAGTTGAATGATTTAGTGTCATTTATGAAATAGTTGAAAGTATATTCAAGTGTTTTGGACACACACATCCAAACATATTTATCTCGCATGCTTTAAAAACACTATTAAATGAGTATATTAAATTAGTGTTGAGGAAATTAAATGGCTCGACATAATGTAACATGAATATAAGTTATTCAAAATGATTTTTTGAGAATATGCTTATCATCTCAAGTAATACTTAAACAAATGGAAAATAAGAACTCATAAAGTTGAACTAAATAGTTAAGATACGATTTATAATGAAGGTGATGATTAATTCACACCCTTCATCTCTTGTTTATGATTATATATAAACACATTTCCCTTCGCTAAACCACCATACTAAACTCTCCAGTTTTGAAAGCACAAGTTTGACAATAAACTACTAATGATATAATGAATTACATGAGATATTGTAACATGGTCTCATGCAAGATCAGTGAATGGGTTTGAATTTTTGATAGGAGAAAGTCAAAAGGTTTTCCTTGCATGAATCTCATCCAAAGGATCTTTGTTAGGTTATGCGGTCCAATGGAATAAAATGATCATCGGGGTCTGACCTTGCATGGATCTCACTATAGGATTCCTTGCTCATAGAGTTCTAATGTATTCCTTGTAGATCTTTTTGAGTTCCATGCATACTAGTGATCTCAACCAGATCTATAATATTTGTGTTTTAGTTTATTAATAAAAAACAAATGTAAACAAAGAGATTACGGCTAGGTTGCGCCTAATTGAAAATGTATGGTTTGGTTGCAAATAGAGGGGTAACATAGGCGGATTGTTGAAGCTCAAAATTGTTTCCAAGGTTGTGGACTTACATACTTCATTTGGATCAAAGAATCTTTTGTGGTCAAGTAATAAGCCTTGTCCATGTCCTGTGTAGTAGAAAGTATAAACAAATGATAGACGGTACTTCATTGGAAAGATCAGTCGCATGATTTGCATGGTTGATTCATTGGAAATGTGGAATCATGTTTGAGACAAATGGGATCTTTTGTACTAAATCCCATGCATTTGATATTGCACTGATAAGCTCGGGATCTCATGAAAGCTTGCCAGTGTCCCACTGTTGAAGGATTGGTGGTGGAGTTTCAAGAAATGTATTATGGGGCATATGGGAACTTGCACGCCCAAACATAAATTAAAGATGCAAACTTTAGGGAGGTTTCTATGAACCGGGAAAATTCATCTTTCTTCAATTGATCTCTTTTTTACATGCTTTTAGTAATTTAATGACATTATTATTTTATCACCATTTTAAATGTGCATTCTCATGCCTATTTGGTTGACTAGAATTCGAATGGGCCATTTATCCTCTTCGTTTCCAAATAAAAGTAAATGGAAGATTGGAACAATGGTAGGAAAGCCACCGCTTGAGTAGATTTAGAATTAATCAAGAATTACAGAAAAGAAAATGATGGACAACTGAATGCATGCCTCCCAGCTACAAAGTAAAGTTAAAAAGGACGAAGTAGAAAAAAGAACGAAAAATCGAGTGAATACCATAAGGCAATTTTTTTACTATTGTGATTCTATATAGCCTACTTTAGAATGAATGGTAACCTAAAACCCTTCACTAAATTTTCAAGATTATTTCAAGCAAAGAATTGAAGAGGACATGCCAATTTCACCTACTGCGTTATGTTGAAGTTCTTCAGAGATTGAAATATGCTAAAGGTCAGACGGCCTTAAGTTGAAGTCATATTGTTCTAGGTTGCCTTAGTGGAAAATCTGATTATGTTGTCTTCTGTTTGGTAAGAATGTCTGTAGTTTCCATCCAGCTGAGCAAAGGATACATATAAATGCGACACCAAGCAGAAGGGTTGTTTGCGTACAATCAGCCAAACCTTTTTCCTTAATTTCACTCCATGAAACCTTCTATCATACCACAGGTGATATGACATATTGCATTGCAATGTAAAATAACGCCATTCCAGTCCAGCCCATTTGAATTCAAACCTGGGATTTTGATTTTTTTTTATTTTTTTGGTTTTTTGGTTCTTTGGCGGCTCACTATTCACTCAAGTATGATGGTATTGGCAGTACTTTTCCCCTGTTGTTTTTTATGGATGCCAAAATGCTGTTAGAAAATTTGTCTTTTTTTCTATGACGTGTAATGTATTATTTGCAAAAGAATCAGAAATTTTCACTTTATTTAGTTGACAAGGGACATCTTTCCTTCTTATTTTAATGATGTCATGTTCATTCGCTCAATTCTTCTGATTACAACAAAACAATTTCAACAACACCCATCGGTTTCACATTTATTATTAGTTGTAATTGAGTTGTTCAATTCAACTTACACCTATTTGTTTATGGACTGTTTAGTTATTCATTTGTTAAGCATCTACCAGTTCAAGTAAATATATATTTATTCATTACTGAAATCCTGATTGTTATTCTGGCCAGCTTTATGACTACCAATATCATATGGGTCTTCTCCTTATCGAGAGGAAGATGCAAGCTTCCAAATTTGAAGAGCTCTGGAAAGGATTGTCAGAAGCCAGGGCAAATTTGGAACTAGAGCGTGCAGCACTCCCCAGCACCTTATCCGGAAAACAAAAGCAGGAGCAAAGTATTCGAAGTATTCTGATAACTTTAGAGGCTGAGAAGCAGCATGTTGCAGAAGTATGGAACTAACAGATTGCTCTTTTTCTCCATCTCCACCGCCCCCCTCCCCCCTTGTCATCATTTTCAGCATGCTATTGTCTCAAAACTAATATTCTTTAGCTTTCTTAAAAATTTATCCTGCCTGTTGGCAAGGGTAACTTGCAGGTTTCATTCTAGGGGAATTCTTGCGTAGTATTTCCTTTTTGTCACACTTAGAGGGTTACACTTGATTTTTAAATAGTTGCTTTTGGTTTCAAGTATATATTACATTTTTTCCTTAACAGCTTAGAGGCTGCACAGGAAGAGTAACATCATTTGAAATGTGGGTCTTCTGGCTTGTGAAAATGATGTAATTGAATGTACGAACAAGCCTCATCAGTTGTACAGCCTAGAGAGAGCCTATAGTTGTCCTCCTTGATGCTGGCATTGATGGAAGAAGTTATTAGTAATGAAATTCAGTTATCATATTTATGTTGGTACGTTAAGGGTAAACAATTGGAAGCCGCTTGGTGCAAAAACTGGTTTTGAACCTTTTCCATTGCTATCCTTTGCCCAAAGAAAACTTTAGTTTAGGCCATTTATGCTATACGTAAACTGGTATGTCTTTTTAATTAATTCACAATCGACAACGTTGCAGAAATAATCTTGTTTTCTGGACATGTATAAATGATAATTATGTATGGGTTTCCTTTGTAAAGTGGATTGTCAGAGAGCCAGGAAGGACATGCTTTGATGAATTTATGAAGGGAAGGTTTATCCAATGGGAGAATGCTCTGTTATACGTATTAATATATAATTTTCATTTGCTGTGTACAATAAATTAGAGATGAGAGGGGTTTTGCCGCCAATTTATATACAAAATGGGGAGTGAATTACAACTTCAAAAAGTCCAGGAGAAGAAGGTGAAGGGTCATTTAACTTTTAGCATTTTAAGGACACTCGCAGTGCTGAGGAACTTCTTCCTTCTTGGGGACTGGGAGAGTAATTATTTTCTTGTGTGCTCTTTTTGCTTCAGTTTTAATAGAAGCACATTCTTCTTGTGGTTCATAAAAATTGACTGTTATTGCAGTTTGCATCAGACAAATTGCTTGATGATGAAAATTACATGCACTACATGTTTCAAAGAGATAAAAATTTCCATCTGTTTTCTACAAATGTAATTTTTTCTTTCAGCTTGGAAAGACAATTTACAAAATGAAAACAGAAGAGAAACGGCTTACTGAACAAGCAGAAACACTGGAAAGTTTGGAACCAAGTCTGCTGGAGCATGAGTTGGAGCTGAAGGGATCGCAGGACTTCCTCAGTGAAAGGAAGATGAACATAACAAACGAGAAAGAAGAATTTAGTAAAATACAGGAGAAATTTGAAGCGATCCAGCATAACTTTTCCAGAATGAATGATGCTTCTAACTACATGGAAGCTGGTATTAGTCATAGACAGCAAAATTTAGCTAGTAAAGAGAAGGTTCCTTATGATTTTGTTTTTTTATTTGTATTGTCTTCATTGATGGTCTATTCTCGTTCTCTACACTATCTTCATGTGCGTTACTTTGATGCAGGAAGCTGAAAGTAAGCAAGAGAAGCTTGAGAAGAAAGGGAGAGATCTACTTGACAATCGAAAGCTTCCAACGAGAGAAAGTGTAAGATCTATGTTATCAGTAATAATGCGCATCTCTGTATAGAAAAAATGGTAGTTATGCAATAAGAAACCTTAACCCCCCTAGTGGCACAGGCTCTGCAATCCGAGAAACAAGCCTTTGACCAGGAGTTGGAGAGTGGAAGAGAATCATTAGATGGAAAATTAAAAGATAAATTGAATAAATCGTTGAAGCAAAATGCTGTGGAGGGAGAATATGGAAGCCAAATGGAAAATGATTTCTTGGCTCATGAAAAGGAGGTTGAAACTGACCAATTAAGGGTTTACACGGACAAGGAAACTCTTAACAATTTCTCTAACAAACTGCAGAATTTTATACAAGAACCTATGAAGAAGAGGAATTTTTTACTTTCTCTAAACGAGGACTGCGAGGACTGCAAGAACTGTAATTTTATCATTAGTGAAATAGACCTTGCTACTCCTGAAAATTTTGAAGGCGATATATTACCGAGTCCCAATGAACACCTTGAGCAGAGGCCAATGGAAAGTGAAAATGATGATTGCTATCCTCAGAACAAGAGATATCAATCAATTAAAGTAGGAGGTTGCAGGCCATGCCTTCAATGCTCCGAAATAGCGAAAGATGTGTTACAGATTGAATGTCAGCCCACTGTTTCTTCCATCAATGTACAAAATGACACTCAACCACTGTCTTCTAAAGACCAGAAGGGTAGATCTATGCCTAACAAAAGAACAGGCTCTCTGAAGTTAGCAGTTGAGAATTGTAAAGAAACACTGAATGATATTCCAAAAGAGATCAAACAACTTCAAAAATGCTGTTCAGAAGATCTGAAGGATACCAATGAGGAAAGCAAATCGAACTTGCTCAATTCTGCGAAGATGGGAGGTAGTGCAGAGCAGCGGGATCTTCTTTGTGATGCATCTGAAACAACATCTGAGTTCGATGCATATCACACAAAAACACAATTAGCAAATGAAGGGCATCGTAAAAGGCAGAGAACAGGTGACATTAGATTAAATTTTCCTGGACAAAAGCGGTACAATTTCAGACCCTCCACCATGTTAGTGATCTCTCTCCTTTTATTTGTCATGAGATTAAGAATAACAATTTCTATACCCTTATGAATTTTTAGCCCCTTGCCATATTTAAATAATTATTTGCTAATCACCTGAACCAATCTTCATTCCCTGTTTTTATAGGTTTCAGCTAGCATCAGTCTGAATTTTACTTTTTTTGCTTTCTTCTTTCAACAAATATGCATCTTTATTTGACCAAACTTTGATCATGCATCATTCTAAAATCTTATTTGGCAGATACGGCCAACTATTAGGGCCCCTATTCTCTTTTTAAGAAACATAGCTATTGCAATATTGGTGAGATTTCATTCCACCATCATATGTTTACAAAAAGACTTGAAAAGAACAATATTAAAACCACATGCTTAAGAAGTGAAGTGATGAAAAGTGCAGAGAACTAAATCACATTTTCAAGTAGTGAAACACACTCCGCTTGTAAAGGAAAAAGCTCTCAAAATCATCCATTTCATTTTTATTAGTTGTTTCTCTAATATAGTGACAATTTTCTTAGCTTTTGTATTTCCTTGATTTTTTTAATCACAAATTAACAATTTATCTTGTTCCTATAGCATTAGACAAACAATGAGGTTGGAGGTTGTTGGAATGGAAATATTGAGGGCTTCAACCAATTTACAATCAAAACTACCCAGCGGAAAATATGATCACACGGACTCAAGAAATCTGGAACAAAATATCTAATACAAATGCACAACAAAGTAATCACAGACAAATGCACCAAGATTTAATGTAGAAAAACCCGAGAACAGAAAAAAATCATGGAGCCACACCACATAATTCACTATGAAATGGTGAAAATACAGAGATTTTCACCATCAAATCTTCTCTCTACAATATTAGAACTTAGAAGAATGATGTTCCATATCTTCTCTTGATTGCACAAGAGAAATTACACGCTAAGAAATTCACCTCTCGAACTTCACCGCTTCTATAGAAAGCCCTTCGAGAGTTTACAACATGTGTATGTATCTTCGTCGCTCCAAATTGAGGACTTTAATACGAACTGTAAAGATAACCGCATGTGGCGTAGTTACGCCACTCATTGATGTAATTGCTCAGTGCGCTCTTTGTTCTGAAGCTGTGAATCGAAGGAAGTGAAGCATCAACGATGTGCCTACGCCGCTACTTGGCATAGGTACGTCGTCCGACATAGTTACACCCAATACTAGCATGGTTACGCCAGTTTTGGTATGCACAACGGTGTTGGAATCCCTTCCTCTACGACTATGGGTGCTCCTCCGGGTTCCACATCTGAACAATCTCCTACTTGGAGACTAATAGTACTCAACACATGTCCTTCAGATCTATACATCTATTTGTACTACCTTCATAGTCCTGTACCGTAGTGTGGCTCACCTTCAGTCTCAACCTACCTGGACTCCAACTGAAGCCAAGTATAGCTCCAGTTTTTTGATATTCACCACCTTAGTCAACATATATACAGGATTATCAACTGAGAGTATCTTCTTTAAGAACATTGTTCATCTTTGAGGCGAGTGAATAAAGCGACAGCTCAACTAAATATACTTTGTCCTGACATTGAAAACAATATTTTTAACAAGATAAATAACACTTATACTGTCACTCTGAAGCTTTTCAATTCTTCGCTCTTTGCCCAATACTATCATAAAGTCATGTTGCCAAATTATCTCATTAGTAGTCTCGGTGATAGTAATTTATTCGGTTTATGTAGTTAAAAGTGCAACAATTTTCTGTTGCCTTGTAACCCAACTCATTGTTGTGTTCCTCAAAGTGAAAATATACTCTATCGTACTTCTTCTAACACCCAAATGTCCTGCCATATGAATCTATAAATTCTCAAAGGAAAGCACTCTGTTGATTGTTTTTCTCAAATAATCAAGGATCCATTTCACTGCCTCCAAATGATGCATTCCTGGATTACCCATATACCCGCTGGCCACTTCCATTGTCTATGCAATATTTGGTCTCATGCAAATCATAACATACATCAAACTTTCAACTGCTAAAGCATATAAAGTTATCATCTGTGCTTGCTCTACTTTAAACTTAAGTGATAGTTCTTTTGATAACTTGAAGTATCTAAGGGATTACAAACTAGTTTTCTCACTCATGTTGAACTTATGTTTGATTTTTTCAACATACTCTGTCTGAGATAACTTTACTGTACCTGCACTCCTGACCATGTTGATTCTCATCTCAAGAATCTTTTTGGTTTAACCTAAATCATTCATCTCAAACTTTCTTGATAATTGCTCCTTCAAATTTTTTTTCTCCATTTCTGCCCCTGTAATCAATGTCATCCACATACAAAAGGAGCAAGATATAACAACTACTAAAGTTCTTGATGAAGCAACAATGATTTTCCCGACACTTCATGTATCCACTTTTAGATATGAATATGTCAATTCTTCTGTACCAATATTTCAAGACCTCCTTCAAGCCATAAAGGCTTTTCTTCAGCTTACAAACCAAGTTTTATTTTCCTAGAACCTCATAACCCTACGGTTGCACCATCTACAGTTCAACTTCCAAATTCTTAATGTCAAAAGGTTGTTTTTACATCCATTTGTTCAAGATCTAGATCTTCTTCTGCTACTAAGCTTAGCACAACTCTAACAATTGTCATCTTCACCACAGAGAAAAAATCTCACTGTAGTTCACATCTTCTTTTTATAAAATTACTTCACAACAAGTCTTGCCTTGTAGCATCTACTACCATCTGACTCCAATTTTAGTATGTAGACTCACTTGTTGTGTAGTTTTCTTTTGACATTTGATAATACCGCCAAATCACAAGACTGATTTGACATCAGTGATTGTATTTCATCATCCATGATGAATTCCTACTCCTTTTTATCTTTAGTTTGAGTCCTCATAGCATTCTGGTCTACCACTATCAATTAGTACCACATAGTGTAAAGGAGAATACCTCCATGTCAATCTCCAGATTCTGTTGGACCTTTTGACTTCAGTTGTTAGTGATCGAGGAACTCCCTCTACTTCATCTGATTGAGCACTTCTTTTATTTTCACCTCTTGTGATCACCAGTATCTTCCACCTCATCATGTTTGGACTCTTTAGAAATAAATGGTGGGCAATCACGAGCTCTTATGTCATTATACATTTCATTTTATTGAAAGTGACATCCTTACTTTTGATGAACTTCTGGTTTTGTCCATAATTTGTACCCAAATTCATATGAACCATACCCAATGAAAGTGTACTTGATAGATTTTAAATCAAGTTTACTCATTGACCATGCATCAACATGTACATATGCAAAAGAACCAAATAGAATTTATTTAATAAATCGTGGTTTGTCAGTCCTTTGACGGAAGAATTACCTGAAGAAGCCTGAGGTGACAAAAAGATAAATCTCTTTGTTAAATAAAACATGTACAACATGGACATATGCAAAAGAATCAACTGCGTTCAAGTGAGAGATTTGACAATACCTCTGTGTAGTGCTCTTTTGTCATTTGACAATATCGCCAAATCATAAGTTTGATCATAAGTTTGATTTGACATCAGTGACTGTATTTCATCATCCACGACAAACTCCTACCCCTTTTAATCTTTAGTTTGAGCGGACTCTTCATAGTATTCTAGTTTACCACTATCAATTAGAAACACATGGTGTAAAGGAGAGTACATCTGTGTCAATCTCGATATTCTGTTGGGTCTTTTGACTTCAATAGCAGATGACTGAGGAACTCTCTCTGTTTCATCTGATTTCGTACTTTTTCTATTTTCACCCTCTTGATCACCACTGTCTTCCATCTCAACATATTTGGAATATGTAGAAATAACTAGTGGGCAATCACGAGTTATACTCCTATCCTTATACATTTCATTTTATTGGAAGTGACATCCTTACTTCTGATGAACTTCTGGTAATGTCCCATAATTTGTACCCAAATTCATATGAGCTTTATCCAATGAAAGTACACTTGATAGATTTCAAATTAATTTTACTCCTTGACCATGTATCAATATGTACATATGCAAAAGAACCGAATACAGTTTATTTAATAAATCATGCTTCGTCAGTCCTTTGAAGGAAGACTTACCTGAAGAAGCCTAAGGTGACAAAGAGGTAAATCTTTTTGTTAAATGAACATGTACAACATGCATATATGCAAAAGAACCAAATATGTTCAAGTGAGAGATTTACCTCTTTGTCACCTCAGACTTAACATTCCCTTTTCATATGAATGTTAAGATAGATGTGAAGTATAACTAGGAATGATAGAGTAAAAAATGATTTTATTAGGGAGGAGGTTGGTTTAGCACCAACTAAAACTAACATGAAAAATTATTTTAGATGATTTTTTTGTATACGTTAGACAGGTGATATATTTGTAAGGCGATTAGATGGCATCAATGTGAAAAGATTGTGAAGAATTATAACCCAAAATATTAAAGTATAGAAGTTCTGAACAAGAATTATATCAAATAGAGCTGACATCTCATGTGACACTCAATAGAAAAGGATGGAGGATGATTCTCAAGTCAACTCTAAATAGTTATTTATTTATTTATTAGGTTTTTTAAATGAACCCCACCCAAATAGTTGGTATATTGTTTTCATTCATTTACATTAGTGCCTTGTTGCTTCATTTCTTATAATAATTGTAATATATATTTACAAAACATTCATCAGCATACTGACATGAAATTTTTTTTTTTGGTGCTGTTCTAATCAGATTGAAGGTTTTAGTAAGCAAACTACAGTCAGAACATGTATTTGGGAGGGAGAATCATGAAAAAGATATTGACCATGAACCAAGCAATGCAGATTAATGTTTGTTAGCTGGCTTCATCTTAAAGCGCAGACGCATTAACTTTACAAGTGAATACTCCTGAATGTAAAGTATCTTATCCCAGAAGGTCAGCCATTCTTATATTTACTTTTTTTAATTGAAATCTAGAAAATTAACATCATATATTTGCAAACATTTTCAGTTTTCACATTCTTCTTGTCAGTGTTGTGCTCTAGTCATTCTTTATTCTGTAGGTTATGGTCTGTACGACCATTCATTTATTCCAAATAGTAACTTGAAATAGGTAAAAACATAAAAATTACACTTCGCATATATGATATGTAATATAGAATGGGGGTTTAATTTGGGGCAAATTTTTAGTAATATTTAATGAATTTAAACCTATATTAATTTATATGAATGAAATAACATTTATCCCCTTTCCCTTGTAGAATTATCACTTGGCACAACATGAAGAGAAAATTTTGGAGAATTCTTTTCTGTTTTTCGGGCGTCAAACAAATTTAATTATACTCATTCATTGTAATAATTAATGCCTCTGAATTATAGTTTCAATGTATTGTTGTCTAAATTGTTGGATTCAAATATCTAAATTCTACTAATTAAATTTACGAGGCTAAAGCAAAAAAAAAGGAGATAATTTAGAGAGAGAAGCTTGTAAATATTAGCTATATAAGCAAAATAAATGCATAAATAAACATATGATTGAATTATTATAGACATGTGAGCACTACTATCAAGTTCTCAAGAAAGTACAGTGGACGGAGCGTGTGCAAGGCTTCCATTGCTTAATGAGTGAGTTCATCCAATAAACAGGTGAAGTCACCCGATTGAAAGGCTTCTCTAATTTAGTTGACTGCTTTCTTATGTCCGAGCTAGTCGCTCCAAGCTGGGCAAGAGCCTCTGGCATATGAGTGCCCTTGAGCTGCCAAAACCTTTTGAGCTAGGTAGCGCCCCTAAATGTAGAGAAAATTTGCGTCAGGAGTATTAATTTGCATATTCTAATAATACAGCTTCATTTGTTAAGTGATGAAACCCATTTTACATATTAAAAATAAGATAATTATTTTTTTCACGTGACCTGGCCCAGAGACCTCCCATTGTACTGAAAAAAAATCATTATAATATCAATAATAATACTGGTCGTAGTTTGGTAGTATTTTGGTGTTCTTGTGGTATTCTTGTGATATTATTGTGGTATACTTGTGATATTCTTGGGGTGATATTATGATATTCTTATGGGGTTATTATGATGCTATTCTTGTGACATTCTTCTAGTATCCTAGTGATATTATGGTAGTATTTGGGTGGTATTACGATTATATGTTGATGATATTTTAGTGGTATTCTTGTAGGATTTTGGTATACATGCAGAATAACAAAAACATACTATCATAATATCTCAATAATATCACTATAATATCACCATATTATCACTAGAATATCACCAAAATATCATGAGAATACCACTAGGATATCACAAGAATACTACCAAAATATCACTATAATATCATCATAATATCACCAAAATACCGACAGTATTATTTTTGGTATTATGATTTTTTTATTTTTTTTTAATGCAAAGGGCGGTCTTCGGGATGGGTCTGGTGAAAAAATAAATTTTTTTCCAATATTTTTAATTCGGACTACGTATTATTGGAGTCCGCAAGTACATGCTCCAGACAATATTTTTTCCCAAAAAAGGCATATATTGCTGAGCTAGGAGTGTCCCTCTAACGAAGAAATATTATATGCGGAGAACCGTGTATGTAAGTTAATGGTTAAAGATAAGCATGAGCAAAAAGATTATGCGAGACACTTACTTTACTAGCTATTTTTTATATGCAGAAGAGAGAATAAATAATTTTCTTTTTTTTTTTTTTTTTTTTTTGTTCGGCGTAATGCATTTACTTTTTGTTAGCGTGAGATTCAAATGATGTTAAATCTAAGAAATATATTTTCTTACAGCTATCACGATCATATCCAGAACTGGATTTTTCTCTGGTTAATAAAACAAATAATGGATTTTCTGAAGTTTTAATTAATCAGATTTACGGAGTTAACAACAACTGGGTTCAAACTAATGATGGAAATGTGGGGAAAAAAAAAATAATTCAGGTAGAAGTTTAAGTATTTAGTTGCGCCAGGAGATTCAGAAATGGCACCTATAACAAGTATCAATTTAAGCTATTCGATTCGTTTTGAATGGCTGGGATCATTCCAATCTTTTGGGTGGCATTTACATATATATCACACGGTTCTTATGTATTTACATATCCCACACATAAACATTCTTATTTACATACATAGGTAGCACTCAAAAGTCAAATCTTTAGCATCACATAAAACTAAAAAAATCATTATTTAAAAAAAAAAAATGAAATAACCCTTTTTATGCATAAATTTATGAGTCCAATGTTATAAATATAAAATTCAAACATTCGGAGTTATATATATGTACATGGATAGGAATTGTGTGGCAGGGCATGCAAATTTCAAAAAGAAAAAAATGAAAGCAGCAAAAAGTAAAAAGAAACATTATGATTCTGGGGCATGTGGTGAACGTTTACAGAAAAAATATCTTGCTCAAAATAACCTAATCAAAATTTTATTAGAAATCATATTAAAATCATTACTAGGGTTGTAAACGAGCGAGCTCGTGTTTGAAATCGGCTCGTGAACAGTGTGTTCGTGTTCGGCTCGATTTAAATATTTGTGTTCGTGTTCGGCTCGAAATTTACTCGTTAAACTAAAATTGAGAAAAATAGATGTAAAGTGTGGGATTCGAACCTGGATCAAATCTATACAAAAAAAGACACTAACCATATTGCCACATGAGGTGTTATGATTTAAACTTAAACATAAATATATATAATATATTATTATATAAATAATATATGTAATATATTGTTATATAAAAAATTATATATATATATATATATATTTTTTTTTTCAAGTCATTTCGAGCTGGAGGTGTTATGATTTAAACTTAGACATAAATATCTATATTATATTATTATATAAATAATATATGTAATATATTGTTATATAAAAAGTTATATAATTTTTTTTTTGAGCCATTTCAAGCCGAACACGAGTGAACAAACTATTATTCGTGTTCGGCTCGTTTACATTTTGAGCTTAAAAATTTGTTCATGTTTGGCTTGTTAGGCTTAACGAACGAGCTGAACACGAGATGCTTAACGAGCCGAACACGAGTTGTTCACGAACAACGAGCCAAATTGACAGCCCTAATCATTACATTAATTTTGAGATGAAATTATAACTATTTATTAAAAAAAATGTATTATATTATTCCCAAAATAAATATAATAATCTATTAAATTTGATTTTAAAAAATAATTTCCCACCACACAATTTTTCTAACTCAAATTTTTTTTGGGATTCAAAACTATCAAAGGTTAAGAGATTGTTTGAAATCAAATTTATTTTTATTTCTTTCTTTTATTTTTAAAAATATGTTATTTAATACACATTTTCTATATTTTTATATTTTATTTTTAAAATTTTAAAAACAATCATATTTTAACCAAATAGCTAAACATTAGCAAAATAAAATAAAATGAAAAAATAAAAGTGATCTCAAAGCCCAAAAGCATTAGAATCAAGAACAGAAGCCCGCAGGCTAAATTCTACTAAAATGCATATAGCTATCCATACCACAAAAGCAGAATGTGAATTCATGGCTGCCGTATTCAAAATCTCTAACAAGAGCCAAAAAAACTGTTGTATCTGTATAGCTAAATTCCCATATAATTCTGGTATTAATCGCACCGTTTCCCCTCAGTTCTTTTCTGCATGAGAGATGACCTCGATCCATATGGCCTGCAAATTTCTTCCTCACTTTCTTCACTATCTGAAACAATTATCATCCGTATATCTGCTGGGTCTTCCTCCACTTCACGACAGTTTTCTTTCAGCATGTTCTCGTTGACTTCTTCAATACTTCCAGTAGCAATAGAAGGCATTTGATTCGGAGCATTATTCTCTGTATTTTCACCGTCAGTAATTCTGAATGGTGTTACTGATTTCAGTGATAGCTTCCCACCCATTAGCCGAAGCTTCTTCCTATTTCCCTCGGTCTCCTCAACCGGCTCATCTGGGAGCATCTCCGCGGCTGAAACTTCCGAGTGGGGATTTAGAGAAAGAGAAGAGGGTTGTTTAGCCTCCTGCGGTTTGTTGGAGATCAGTTATCTTGGCTCAGTTGAGCGAGAAATTTTATGAAAAAGACTACGAGCTTGTTTGGGCTCAAATTTATTTTTTAGGAGTTTTGAGCATTTTCAAAAACAAACATTTCATAATCAAACATATTTTGCTTCAAATCAAAATATAAACAAACAAATGTAATGCCGGCTTCGGTTGTTTTAGCAAATCTTGTAAATCTGAATTTACTAAATCAAAATCCAAGATTTAAGGCAAAACCGAGAAGAAAAGAATTTAGAAGTGCCATTTTTGTTGTCAGGCAAAAGTGAAGGTAAATCCCACTTAAATCTGTTGTTAGAAAGCTCCTAAGAATTTAATGCTAGGAAACTGTTCCTCACCATATTCAGATTTTGAAATATGCTGTCATCAACATCCTTCGCTGTAGTTTGGGGATTAGCATATCTCCTAGTCCAATCTCGCGCCTTCTCATCGAAAACTTTTTTGTTGTACTTGAACTCCCTACTCTGCAAAATTATTTTTTGATGAAATAGATTTCTTTTATTTTACACTTTATATCAATGCTACTACACAACTTACAGCTTCAGCCATTAGTCCATCGTCCGGGTTGGGCTCACTCAGTAACAAGCCAATGCTCATCATTACTGTAGATATGTTCAAAGATGGTTGCCATGCTCCCTGCATTCCCACATAGGGGCATTCACATACATAACAAAATTTTTATGTATTTACATATCTAGCACCAAAAACATTCATATTTATATGCATACAACTCAAATCTTTAACATTACAAACATTAAAAAAATATCATCGTTATTTTTTTAAAAATAGAATGCAACTTTTTATGTACTTTGTGACCCCAAAGTATTAAATATCTAACTTTGGATGTTGGATATGTAAATACTTAAGAATTGTGTGGTATGTATTTGTATGCTTCACTTCCATATATGTATGTATGTATAATTTCAGATTAACTAATTATTGTAAATGTTTATAACAAAAAGGCAGCTACACTGAGGCTTACTTTTGGAGGCAAATTGAGAATATCAAGACAGATCCTTCCTCCATTGTCAATGTTAGGATGGTAGATAGGGGTCACAAAAGTTACATTAGGTGGCTGAAAAGGATACCTGTATTTTTTAACACAGCGGAGATAGTGATTACTGTTCTAAAATTATGAAGCGCGAAGAACAAAAAGTTCAGAACCTCTCAGGGATTTGAATCTTAAGAGTAAAAAGTCCTTCGCTGTATACCGTTCCTTCGGGCCCTCTTAATCCTATAAAACATCATTTAAGGAAGTAAAATTTTATTGTACAAGTAGATGCAACTACAAAGATCAATGTTGCTCCCTTAAAAGAAAATTTCATAAAAAAACTATTTGGCCTCAGTTTCATTGGTGAACCAATGGAATTTGTGTCATCCACTTTTGTTACGTGGGCAGGAGTGAGCACAGTTTGATTTGGTTTCAATTGTATTTGAACCAAACCAAGCCTTATTTTAAATTAATAAATCAGAACTGAAACGTTAAAATATGAAACCAAACTGAATCAAACCAAATGGCTTTGAACAAAGATTAATATGAATTTATACATTCTTGAATCAATATCATAGAAATAGTTATAAATATTTTACTTACAAATATGCATTTAAAAATTATGGGAAAATGATACCATAGATCAAGATAACATATAAATAATATGAGTTAATTATTTTATATTCTCCAATAACCTATCACTTATTTACAAAACTAATTTAGTTTGTTTTTTTTTCTTTTTGATAAATTTACACAAGTATCACATAATTCTTATTGGTTTACAAAGTTAACACCTACATTTTGATACTTACATTTATAACAACTTGGTGCTATAAAATAAAGAATTATTTCATGAAAAAGCTTGCTATTTTATTCAACATACATGTTTACATAGGTTTTACAATGTTTAACAAATAAATCAAATAAAATCCTCTAATTACACAACCCAATAAAACAGTTTAATTACACATAACTAACAACACTCTCCCTCAAAATGGGTGAAAGATATTCTCTAAGCGGATCTTGTTACATAATCTAGCTAACTCCACTGAACTAAGTCCTTTAGTGAGGCACTCAACCACCTGCTCTCCAGTAGCTACATGATTTTGTTCCAACAATCCATTATTCAGCTTCTCCTTGATGAAGAATCTATCAATCTCTACATGTTTAGTTCTATCGTGTTGCACCGGGTTGTAAGTAATGTTGATTGTCGATTTATTGTCACACCACAACTTCATTTAATTTGATTCATTTGAGTTCAACCAACAAGGCCTTCAACCACATCATCCTAACAACTCCTAATACTATGAACCTGCATTCTGCCTCTGGTTTGATCTTGCTACAACTTACTGTTTCTTGCTCTTCCATGAGACTAAGGCCCCGTTTGAGGCAGCTTATTGGGAGCGGCAGTGTTTTGAAAACGCCGCCTCCCTATTTGTTTAACATGTTCGCACTGCGTCACGTTGGTTAAATTACTTTACTCCTTCGACGCTGCCCGAGCTCCGCGTCCAGCGTTAGCCATCCGCGTTGCCCTAGGAATTCCGGAGGTGCCCTCGATCTCCCTTGCCTCCTCCATCGCTAGTTTCCTTTCTGGTTCGTCGCCCTAGAGGAGATCGAACCTTCTTCCTTTCAAAATTTTCGTTCCTGATCATCATGTATCATTTTGATTACCCTAGCTGTGAGCCGTGGAATGCTTTCTTCTCTGATCTTCTCTCTGAGTAGTGTTGATGCATGAAATGAAAAATTTTATCTTTTTCAGGGGAAATATGATGAGAGTTGCCCAGTTTAGATCTATGACATTAGTTGTTTTGGGGATCCTGAGGCTTCTGGCATTTTCTCTGGTTTTCGGTTTTACACATGTTGAGAGTTGTTTTGGGGATCCTGTGGATTCTGTAATTTTCTCTGATTTTTCGGTTTTACGCCTCTTGAGAGTTGTTTTGGGGATCTTGTGGCTTCTGGCATATTCTCTGATTTTGGGTTTTACGCATGTTGAGATATGTTTCATTTTCAATACCCCGATATTTTGGCATTTTAACTGGTTGTTGGATTTGGGTTGCTAGCTGCGATCCTGAATTTGGTTTATTATGGACTACCGTCTCCGTTGCTCACGTCATGTTAGTCTCGTATCTTTGGAATGCAGTTCTATGGTTGTGCCAAGGGTGTTTCAGCTCGTTGTTCAGCTCGTTGCTTGTGCCAAGGGTGTTTCAGCTCGTTGCGGTTTCTTCCGGTGGGCTGACAATCCCACCAGCAGTCCTTCCAGCAGTCATGGGAATGCGATGTTTTCCGAGGTTGATAGTGCAGATGAAGAGAGACATAGCTAGAGTTTCAAATTAAATATTTTAATATTTCTCATTGTAGTTGTACTTGTTTTTATACTTTTTTTTTTATTTTTTCAGGTACTTACGAGAATGTGAGAACTGTATGTTATCTTTTGGAACTGATCAGTGATGATTGTATGCTTCTGCACTATATGTTTCTGCACTACCAATAAGCTATTCTGAATAAGCTGTCCCAAACAGTTTTAGCAGACGGGCAAGAATGTCATTCAACTACCAATAAGCTAATATGAATAAGCTGCCCCAAACAGCAGACCAGATTATTCTGATAATCCAGATTATTCTGATAATTATTCTGATAATCTGCAGATTATTCTGATAATCTGCAGATTATCAGATTATCAGAACAATCTGCTTATCTGCAGACTATAAATAATCAACAACTGCGTCAAACATACCCTAAGTTTCTAACTACAAATTTGTAGTATCCTAATATGGATCGTTTGTCATCAACACAACTTGCCCAGCCAGAATTACAAAAGCCCACAAGATTTACATGCCTATTCTTCCTAAATATCAATCATTTCCCTGGTGCACTCTTTAGATACCTTAGAATCTGATACACTGCATTCATTTGACTATTTCTTGAATCATGCATGTAGCGGCTCATCACACTTACTACAAAAGAGATATCGGGTTGAGTGTGACACAGATAGATCAGGCGGCCCACCAGTCTCTGATAGCTCTCACGATCAACCGATTCGCCTGCCTCTGCACTAACCTTAACATTTTGATCAATTGGAGAGACTACAGGTTTGCACCTCAGCATAAATGTCTCCATAAGATGATCCAATACATACTTTCTCTGGAATAGGACCATCCCCTCAAGTCCATGACCACTTGAATCCCAAAAAGTATATGATCTATCCCTAATCCTTTAATTCAAATTTCTTCCCCAAACTTCCCTTTAGTTGAGCAATCTCTGCTTCATCATCACTTGTGATAATTATGTCATCCACATACACAGAAAGTATAGTAATGTGACATTCATGTTGTCGAAAGAACATTGAGTGGTCTACATTGATCAGTGATATCCCAAGCCAACCATCGTCATTCTAAACTTATCAAACTGCGTTGGAAGAGACCGATTCAAGTCATACAGTGACTTTCTGAGCCCACACACCTTGCCCACTATCTGGGATGTAATGAATCCTAGTGATATCTCTATATATACCTTCTCTAGTAACTTTCCATGAAGAAAAATATTTTACACATCCAGTTGGTGGAGACTCCATCCACCATTTACTATCAGAAAAGCCAATGTCCTCATCGTACTTATCTTTACAACTAGTGCAAAGGCTTCATCGTAGTCAATATCATACATCTGACTGTATTCTTTTTGTCAAGTCATGCTTTGTACATTTCCACCTTCCCTTATAGAGTTTGTTTTACTGTGAAGATCCACTTACATTCAATTATCTTCTTCTCTACTGGTAGTGGTACAATCTCCCATGTTCGGTTTTTATCAAGAGCTCCAAAATCTTAAGGCATCGCCGCTTTCCAATTAGGATCTTCTATAGCAACCTGCTATCACTTGGGTATAAAGAGAGTCCAATGGTGCAATGAATGCTCCATGCAAAAGTGAGATATTAGAATAAGAAATAAAGTTCGCAATGTCAATTTGCAACCCAAAATGATCGGGAGGATGTCCCCCATTGTTTCGGAAAGTTCTCCTTAACGTTGGGGGTGGGTGTAGATAGATGAAGAATAATATCACCAAAGAGCTTTAAATCAAAAGTGGATGATTTAGGTGTTCCAAGAGTTGGGAAAGACCATGATAAGGAACTTGTTGAAACTGCAGATTTTGTTCCCTCAGTTTGCTTCTTCCTCCGCGTATACACCCTTAGCTCACCTTCAACTTGAATCCCACCATCTTTGGGTTCGATATCCTCTATTTTCATCTCCTCGGTTGATTCATCCCCCATCACAGGACATGACATTTCTCCCACTTGCACCACTCCATCACCACTGCTATTCAGTCTCTTTTGCCTCATATCTCCAGTGGTTGTTGAGTCGCGAAAGGGTAAATTTACCTTCAGAGTGTAGTATGGTTCAAACTTTCTGAATGAAACATCAATACTCACAAAGAGTCTCTTCTCAACCGGGCTCCAACATACATAACCCTTCTGAGTAGCAGCATGTCCCGCAAACACATAATTCACAGCTTTAGGATCTAACTCCCCTACAGATGACCTATTGCCTTTCACAAAGCATAAACATCCAAATACCTTCAATAAAATGATCAAATTATTGTCTCCTTTTAGCATGACATCCACTCTAGCATGCTTGAGGGCATCTTCTCAATCAATTGACTGGTCGTCAATAAGTGTTGTGAGACATTCATTGTCATCATCATGCTCCAGTCTACCTCTAGAAGATGTTGATTCTTACTCTCTATTACTCCATTCTGTGTTGGTGTGTATGGCCATGTGATTTAGTGTTATATCCCTTGTGTTGACAAGTAGTCTCCAAATGCTTTTTTGATATATTTTGGCTTATTATCAGATCTCAATGCCTTCACAACTACCCGATATTGGGTCTGAATTGTCTTATGAAAATCTTCAAAGCAAGCAACCACCTCACTCTTCTGTTTCATCACGTATATCTAGGTAACACGAAAGAAGAAATTAATAAACAAAACAAAATAACAATAACCATTAATAGAACTAGTAGGACAAGATCCCCCATACATCAGAATGTATCAAATCAAACACAATAGAGCTATTATTCTCAAAACTAACATAAGAGCTGCTAGCGAGCTTGCCAATCTCACAAGCAACATACACCAATTTCTCCTTATTTACTTTTTCATACAAGGATGGATACAAACGACTCAATAGGTTGAACGAATAGTGTCCCATGCGCCTATAATGTATCAACAATACATCCTCCACACTCTTCTCAGATCCTCCCGCTCTAGCATTCTCAATCGTGGATGTCAAGGCTGAGTTCATTCCCTCTCTATCAAAGTACTAGAGTTTATTATGCCACGTGCCAGTCCCCTTCTTTTGAAATATCACTTTTGGAATATCAAATGAAACAACATATTTTAGTTGGAGTATATAACACTAATGGATAAAAATGTTCACTAAAAAGGAAAAAAGGCATCCAAAAAATTACACAAAGCCATGAAATTGGTACACCTCACTGTACCTTGAACAACCACGGGTTGAATGCTCTCTAGAAATGCTAAATAAGTATAAGAAAAGAACTCACTATCGACACCTGCCATAAATCGAGATGCACCAGAATCTACTATCCATTATGGTGAACTTATGGCCAATATAGAGGTAAGAGCATATGTATCACAAGCACCTTTGACTGCGTGAGCCTAACTAAAAGTGCTTCTCTTGAATGACGATAAGGTAGATGTATCCCCAGTGACATCACATGTCGCTCTCTGCTTCCTCTTCAACATCTCCAATAACTCGTGATTCTCATCGATAAAAACCACTCGTCTCTCCCTCATTCTCCACTATCATCAGACTTGCCCAGTAACCCCCTCTTTTAACCCTTTGGCCCCCACTATTATGACCTCGGCTTCTAGACTGTCCACGTCTTGCTCAGGTGTCCCACTTCTTCGCAGTTTAACACCTGCGAATCTCACCCTAAGCACTAGTCTTACTTGAGCTCAACGCAACCAAAGCTGATCGCATTCCTATAAGACCACCTGGGTAGAGGCTCTTGTCAAAACATTAGCTCCTTGTATGAGCCTGACCAAGATCTTCAAACTTCACGATCTATCTTCCCCAAAAGTTACAATCCCTTACCTCCCATAATATCTCTGTCACCTGATATTCTCAATCACAAGGATCGAAATTTAGATTACAAAAAGAAGAGAGCGAGGTAGCAACAGAAGTCCCACAACAGAAGCTCTCTCGCTCGAACAAGGCAAAACAGATCTCGATACAAACTTTGAAACCTTCACTGCTTCTCTCTGACATCCTCTTGCATGAGAGGAATTCTAAAAGTCCTAATCCTCATTGTTGCCTCTCCTGTTCACGCGAACCAAACACATGACGTCCCCGCCTTCCTTTCCCAGCACGCTCCGCCTCTCAGTTCATGAAATTATCATCGAAAACACCTTCCTTGCACAATGTCCACTGCCACTCTTCTTCTACATCGTCTGTCTCACACACGACGGAGAAATTTCGTAACTCTTAGCTCGCACAGTCCTGCAATCCTTATTCCTCCCTATACCGCGATCTGTTCTTTCCGAGTCCGCAAGAAGTCGCCGAGCCTCTCTTCCCTAGCCTCACACAGAGTCGCCGCAACCTTTTTGCTTGAAACCTTCACCCTCCTCTGCTCACACGTCGAGTGCTAGCGAGGAAACAATGTCAGAATCGCTGCGTGCAAGGACTCAAACCTCCCTGCCAGTTGATCCAAACTCCTCGCTCCATCGCTGGCAACGTGCAAGCCTCCCCGCTTCTTTTCTGTCCATGAGACTCAACTGTCTAAGAGTTGGTCCTAGCCAGTCGAAGCTTTCCAGAATCCCAGCCCTTATACCATAAAAATTTATTGATAAAAAAATATGCTATTTAATTCAACATATATGTTTAAATAGGTATTACGATGTTTAACAAATAAATCCAATAAAACACTCTAATTACACAATCCAACTAAACTATCTAATTACACATAACTCACAACAAAAACTTGTGCATAAAAAGGTGCACTTCACTTTGAAAAAGTTAATAAAGTGCTATTTTTGATGTAATGTTAAAGATTTGACTATTATGAATGAAAATATTAAAGTTTCAGTGATGTATGTAAATGCCCCCCCTCCCCTTCCCCATTTGTAATGGTTTGACCAAAAATCAAACATAGATAAAAAAGGTAACTAAAATCTCAAACCTAGACTGAAACAAACCAAATTTATCAACTTTTGATCAGCTAGTTGTTTGGTCCACCACTATAGCCAAGTACCTATGAGTTCTTTATAGAATACTTGGGGAATAAAGCATTTCTCAGCAATAAAATAGTACAACTGAACATAGGTATTGACCTCTAAAGACATTTAACTGCAATAAACGGACGGATAAAGAAAATCGAACTTACGGGCTTCAATGGTTGACAAAGAGGATAAAGAGCTATCCATCTCAGAAAGAAAGGGAAAGGAAACGCCTGGTGGGGGATCAACCACTAGCAGCTTTATCTCCTTTTGCATCCTCAGGTTCAACCGTGCAGCTTGAGCCATCGATTCAGAATTGCATAAAACACTTCTATAAATCAAAAGATAAACTCATCATTTTAACGATGATGTTTAAATCAACACTATTCTCCAGACTGATACCCTGTATAAAACGAGCAACCTGCCCAGATAAACCCTTATTAACAGAAGGAATCCAGAAATCCTTTGACGTTGTTTGTCCTCTGGGTTTTGTTAATATGCAAAACTCCTGTTGGAATTGGAAACAGTGCAGTTTGGACAAACCATGCAATTTAGTGATTATGACTGCAACTACATAAATAAGACTAAAAATTAAGATCTAGGTTTTTTCATAGTTCAATTGATGAGGCTATCTTTCAGGACAAATTACTAAAGAAAATAATACAAATACGTGATGATAGGCTGTTAAAATGGCTCATTGTTCGCGAAGAGCTCGTGCTCGACTCATTAAGAAACTCGTTTCGTTTGCTAAGTTAAAGAGCCAAGCAAGAATAATTTTTTTGCGCTTGATATATAAACAATCTGAACACGAACAAGGATTTGTTTGTTGTGTAAGACTTAGCTCAAAAAAAATTGATGAGCAGTATTTTTAAATAATATAATTGACTACAAAGTTGCAAAGATTTTATAATCAATTAAAATTATTAATTAAAAATAAAATAAAATATATTAAATTACATTTAAATGTTGTTTTAATATAAATGATAAGATTTAAATCTCGCTCTAGCGCTCAACATCCTACGTCTGCGTGATTATGGTTGTCAAAATGATTATTTGTTCGCGAACAGCTCGTTTTGGGCTCATTAAAGAAACGAGTCGAGCACAAACACATTTTTTTGTTCAAAATATAAACAAGCCGAACACGAACAGTGATATCTTTTAACAAGCCGAACACGAACAGTGATATCTTTTAACAAGCCGAACACGAGCTGAGCCTCAGCTCGTGTTCGGCTCATTTACATCAAACCTAAAGCGCTCACGTACGAGGCAATCGTTTAAATTTAAAATTTTAATGTCACGGACATCCAAAATAGAATAAGAACAAAGACCATGGGCAACTAAAATAGTGATTCTCTTTTCTCCTCGGTGCCGAAGTACAAGAATGATATTCTCGGAGGTGTTGGGTCAGCTCCCTCGTTCCCCAAAGCCTTGGCAAGCCTCTCCTTCCAAGTCAATGTTGTTGTCTCTTATGGCTTCCTGCGAGCGTGAAGTATGTCTGCCAACTGGCAGCATTGGCCCTCATGGTGGCATGCTGCAAGTTGCTTCAAGGAACAGAAACAGATTCTTTTTAGGTAGTTCTATAAAAAATAGTCTAGCCGAGATCATACTCAGTAGTAGTAGTTTAATTTTTGACCTACTTGGATTGAGGTGCTGATATATTAGATTATTTTGAAATCCTCTCCACATTTACATGAACACCTCTTCCCCTCAACATGGTAAGGGGCCTGAACACTCATAGAGGGGTAATTGATGACTTGTTTGCCCTTGTTTTCAGGCCACCAACAACAAGTGTAATTTGCCAACCTTCCTCAACTCACTTTTTGGCTACTTCTTCGTCAATAAAAATCCATTAAGGATGACTAGACAAGACCTTCGTTGGCCTAGAGAATTCAAGGCTACCTCGAAACATTTCTTTAAATTCGTTGCAATGAAGAGAGAAAAGAAACGAATAAGAAGAGAGACGGTGAAGGCTCGAATCAAAAGTGCATAATGAGAATATTGATGCCTTGGGTTGTGTTATGGTATGACTCATATACCATATCGGGACAGACGCTGGATCGAAGCGGAGCGGAGCGGAGCAGAAGAATCTGTCCAAATTGGAAAGTTACGTGGGTTGGGGTGCGGGGGCAAAGCCCCACGGTTTGGTACAGGGGTAATGTTGTAATTACATATTGTGCCTAGGTTTACTCCTGGGGTTATAAATAGGTCTGTTAGTAACCCCAGGAGGTATCCCTGAATTCTGTAAACTCTTTTCTGATTATTGAAAAGAACTCGCCGCTCTGCTCCCGAGAACGTAGGCATCTTTGCCGAACCTCGTTAAATCTCTGTGTTCTTCTAGATTTGTGTCGATTACTGTTTTTCATCGCCCTAATTTTCTCAAAAAGTGGTATCAGTGACAAGGCTGGAGGGGGGAGAAGAAATTTTCATCGACGCAGGGCGGCATATCTTGCACGACGCAGGCGCAGGTTC